GGAAGGTGGGGGAGGAGGGGATCCCCGGGGGAGGGGGTAATTTTTTTTTGAAAAACAATTTTTTTTAAATGGTTAGAACCATTTTATCCAAACCATATTTGACCAAATCCATATTTACCCATATTTTATTTGGGTGGATTGTAATCCAAATCATTTTTGCTCAATCCATATTCAATCCGTCCAAATCCGATCCAATCCAACCATTTGTCACCCCTAAGCATATGCATGTAACACATCAATATCGAAGTATATATTATGTGCCATTCATATGGATATGGATCAAGAGCTAATTTCTATCTATGGAAATTAAATCCTCCACATTCTAATTAATTATACTATAAAAACAGAAACAGCTTCTCCGTACCATCGATTAGTCTAATTTGCTTTTCATGCTGAGATTAAAAGCTAATTTGACTTCGCAATAATTGGAACAACATGATGACAAGGAAAAAAAGTACATTCTTTCTTTACAAATTGGGGAATTCCTAATTTTTTATTTTTTTTTGTATCTAGTCTTCATTATTCAGATTGGAGCCCGACTAATCCGAATAGCACTTTCTACTAAGATTTTTTTTCATATTTGGGTCTCAAAAGTGAGACCTTTACTTAGGAAAAGAGTAACCTCATCTACTGCACCATATCCTTTGATGATATTTCTTAAAATAATTAACGAATTAAATTTATGCTTCAATAGTATATATTAGACCAAGCTCTTTTGAAGAATGATCGACATGAACCTTCTTGTTTTAGAATTAAACATGTGAAAGGACACTACACTTTTGTATAAATTTGTCCATGTAAATTGTCAAATCCTTTAATTTTTAATTAGAATATATAGGTCATTTGCTCCAATCAGATGAGCTTTTCATTCTAAATGTATCTCTCAAGGAGGCCAGGACAAAAGCCACCTCTTGTACCCTCAACTTTTACTGTGATATTTTATATCTATAGGTTGAGGTCTATACCTAACCCCGGCCCCACCAATAAGTGATCATGATCAGAGTAATCTTCCACTTAATAAGTGTTAGTCTAATTAATTAGATTATGAGTTGTGTGTTACTTATAATGTAACTAGCAGTACTCTACTACTCATCATGTCTTTGATTATGTGTATATAATAACATCCATATGTAAGCTACTCAATATATTGTGTGAAGGAAAATATCAAACATACATACATTATTATTAGCTTCCAATTTAATCTAAATTAATATGGTAAAACATTATCTGTCAAATAAATATGGTACTAGAGCACACTACTAAAAATCACTATTTCCATTGAATTTCTCATTGAAAATTGTTCAATAGCTATTTTCATATATATTTTGAATGGATCGGTGAAAAGAGAAAAAGTAGTACTGTTTTGTATGGAAAAATTACAAAGTTTCTCACTGTTTCAGTGAAAATCTACTTTCCACTATGCATTTTTTCTGTAAGTGTGGTTTGGTGGGAAGTGAATGAAAAAATCTTATTCTATAGCATAAATTTTCCACTAATTCGCGATAAAAAAACCTTTATTTTTAAAAGTAGCATGTGAAAGTTATGAGTTTGAGACTTACCGTTATCCATTTTTTTAGAAAAATAAAAAAATTAGTTGGTAATTGATTCATGAAAAAGCCCATCTTGAGCCTATTTGATGGCAAAGAGCAAGATCTTCTTTGCCACAAAAACAATTCATATTTTGCAAGACGTATATAGTAAAGTAATTAAAAATGTTTTTTATAACAATATAAATTTTTAGATGATCACACACTTTATAATATAATATCCAAGCAAGCATAAACTCAATGGTGATTTTACTCTGATCGCCTTTTATCAATATGCACATATATATATGTAGTTTAAAAAGTGATCTTTACAAGTTAAGAAAAAATGTACTTTTTTCCAATTAATTACTGTAAATATACTACAACTTATGTTAAAGAAAATAATGTGCGTACTATTTGGTAGTTCGATTTAACTCAAAGTGAAATCCCAAGCTTATGATTTATTTTTCTTTCCCAGAGTCCAAATAGAGTCCAAAAATATCCTTAAACCATACCTCAATTTAAAATTACACTTCTAAATTATCTTTTTTAACAAAGAAATGTCTCCCAAATATTTAAAACTTAATAACTTCTTTCTTATTATTAAAATTTGTCAAAAAAATAATGGAATCTGCACAAAACAGTTCCTACTATTATCAGCAAAAGTTTTTCTCCATAATTTCACTATTCGTTGGAAAAAGCTTCCAAAAACAAAATTAAAGCTCTCTAAAACCCTTGTTTGCTGAAAAAAGAAAAAGAAGAAGAAATTAGGACGGTGTCGAGAGACATGATTTGTTCTTCTTCTCCTTTACCAATTGAATAAAGTTGGAGCTTAATTTCACATCATCTTCACCTCCTACTAAAATCAACAATTTTTGGGGTAATTACTGTTAAAGTGATCAAGATTCTAATTTTGATATTTGACCCTCAAGTTTCATTCTCCATTATTAAAAGTATAAGTCTCTGATCGGCACCACTTCTTGTAGATTCGGTTAAAAGAAAATATTTCAATTGATAATTTTTTGAAAATAAATGAAAACAAAATTGCTAATTAAAAAAATCTGCATAATGCTAAGCATTGTTGTCAAAAATAAAAATAAAATCACAACAATGTTATAGATGTATCTCAAAATGAAAAGAATTGATTAATCTGAAGTGTAATTTAGGGAGTTTTGTTGAGAGTAGTGTAAAATGCACATGTTTGATAAATTTTGACATAAGGATAAAAAATGTTAACTTTTTAAATATTAGGACGTTTCTATTAAGAAGAATAATTTAAAAATATAATTTACATTTTGAGATATAATTTAAGGATATTTTTGACAAAAAATTCGTCCAAACATGATATGATCCCAAAAATATACATATGGGCTGGAAGTAGAAAATGACATTGCACTGCAACCTTCTTTTAACAGTCTAGCTCGGATTCCAACCCTAAAAACTTTTTTATCATCATTACAATTACTACTATTAATTACTCCTCAGTACTGTCCCAGCTAGCCCAACAAATAATTAAATCAATCCGTGAAAGAGAAAATAAAATCACTTCTTACAACAAGTCTAGGAAACAAATTAACCACAACTTTGGAGTTGATTTCTCGTATGGTCATTCAAGTAACAATTACTATCTCAGAAATAGATATTAGTTGAGTGTCCATCGAAGGAATCAACCCCCACAATATATATGTGTTACACCTTGTAATTTCTTGGCTTGTCATCTTGGTGTTGCTGATCTCCATCCTAGCCTGAGCTCAAGATCAATCTCATCTTCAATGGTTGAATCCCTCTTATCGCGATTATTGTCGTTACTAGTACTATTAGATGCTGAATGTTCACTTGTGTTAAATGATGATGAGCTGATGTTGTGAGGCTGAAAATTTGAAGATGGAATAGTGCAAGGAGACATCAAATTATTTGTCAAAAAGGGTGAGATATTGGAGAGAATATTTGAGGGATCCACATTACTAGATTTAATTGTTGTATGATTAGGGTTATGATAATTAGGCATGGAGTAAAGAAAGCAAAGTCCACCATTTTGGATGAATTCTTGATTTTGGATAAGGAGGGTAGAATTGACATTGGGGAAATTAATTGTGGAGCTATTTGAAGCATGTGACGGTGTTTGATTGAGCCTGACACGGTCACTACGGTGCACATTCATGTGACCACCTAAGGCTTGGGCGGACCGGAACTCTCTCCGACAAAAGGTGCAACTATAGAACCTTGGTGGCCAAGTTGCACCCATGGAATTGCCAGTATCTTCCTCAAAAGCCCTAACTTCCCACGAATCATCGGCATCCTTAGGGTTCCACATCCAATTGAAATGATGGTGGTGGTGGTGGTACTGGTGATGCTAATTTTGTTGTTGTTGATGATGTTGAGATTGAGCCAGTTTTTGAAGCTAAGTCGAGAAAAGAGCCCAGGTTGCTATTATAGATATTGATAGTGGGATTGATTGAGCTAATTTTTGGAATTGAGTTAAGGGGAAAAACTCAAATTATTGTTATAGGTGTTGATTTTGAGATTGAGCTAGTTTTCGAAGCTGAGTCAAGCTCAAGCTCAAGAATGATAATGTTAAGAACATTTAAGACGATATATAGGTGATAGAGATATGATGACGAGTGCGCAATGATAGATGAGAGGATGGGATAAAAGTGAGGAAATAGAGACGAAAACCCTAGATATACTGAAGATATATACAATGTTCTCAAAGTATATACAGTTGGACTTACTTAATTAGTACTCAAAACTTTCATCCTTTAATCAAAGGTCTCGAGTTGCCTTTGTTAGGAAGCACTTTACCTCAATATGGGACTTTCGGGTGCAAATTCGAATTTAATCGGACTCCAATATGGCTACAGGTGAAAAACAAAAGAAAATTAGAACTCAAAACAAAAATTGGGAATATTATAATTATAATCTGTCTAGTAGAGTTGTAAGACTAATATTTGTAGAAATTAACAAGAATATATACTTAAGCATTAACGTCCATCTTTTCTTTTTTTTTTTTTTAAAAAAGGAATTTATGTCGATATCTCACTGGCAATCTAATCTCTTCCTCTTGATGGGGAGTGCTCACTGTCACAAGAAATAAACTTTTTTTGGTACGAAATATAATACTTTAACTAACTATGCATAAGGCTTAAAGAACTTTTTAATTATGACAAAATTATTAGTTACACATCTGAATCATGCTAGTCTTATATATCATCCCCTTGATAATAGGACCCTTGCCTTGTTTAGGAATGTAAATAATATGAAAGGAATAAGTTCAAGAGCATAATAGAACCCTCATATACATAATTTCAAGAATTTTTATGTTTTATCCCGATATAATACTAATATTTGAATTTGTTGGTATTCTAGTAAATCAGATGTTTGATGATTTTAATGATATGCCTGCTTAACATGCAATTAAGAATGAGAACCATCAAATAATTAGAAACTTTGACAATATTTAAGTATGAGTCTTTATTTCAATCTGATGCATTATTAATTGGCATTTGGTAGTACTATAAATATGCCATGATGCCAAATTACTATGCCAACTAACTTTTGGGAATAGAAACAGAGCCAAGATTAAGAGTTTTGAGGTTCTAAATTTCTTTTTTCTTTACTCACACAATCATGTATAGAGTTATATGTATAGCTCCAAAAATGTACATCGTCATTGGGAGGATGTAGCCTGTACGTACTAGTTTAAATTCACTCTCTCAGAGACAATAAAAACATATTATGATGATTAATATATAAGAAAAGTTAGGTATTTGGCTGGTCGATAAAAAATAATTATGTTGGTGAGTTAAATATATTAAAAAAAAAATATTTCTGTATATTATATATCGATATACAAAAAAATAAAATATTTTTTATTTATAATTGTGGTGAGCGGCTATTTATGTCAATTTCTCTGATATTATATATTGGCCATGCTTAATTACTATCTTGCTCGATTTAAGTTGCAACACTAATTAATAAAACTGTTCTATATATGATTCATTCTCTTTTTCTTATTCTTCTCCAAGGTAATAAACTTTATGCCCTTCTTTGGAATATATGTTGTTTTATATTCTTTCCCATTTATAGTTGTTCCCACTTTTGTCGAAAATGCCCTGATTAATTATAAGGTTTTTTAAAATCGAATCTGCCGTGTATGAGGAATAAAATGTTGACAGCATTGTACAATAGTCTATATATATAATAGGGATCATTCATATTTTATCCCCATTTATTTAGCTTCTTCTTCTTGTCCTATATTATTGGGCGACTTCCCTTGTATAAAATTACACTAAAATCTTTGTAATTTTACTCTAGCACGAAAAAAGCTTTTTAGGGAGTAGTTATTATTAAATGGCAAGAGAAAACTTGTTTATTTAAATTCAATATCTTTATATATTTTGTTAGTATATTAAAGTTAAACTATATTTAAGTGTGTCGTAATCATATGAAAAATAAGTGTTATCTTGAAAAAAATAAAATTGTCTTAAATAAGTTTTATCGTAGAATTTTGGACAAAATTATTATTCTTTTCGTTCCTATTTACTGGTCGTTCTTACTAAAAATAGATGTTCTTTAATACTTCATATGTCCATCTTTACTTGTCCACTATACTATTTTGGGATGTCCAACAATACTTGTCCGATTTATAATAAAATCAATGAATAATTTGTCATTTTGTGTCTATTTTACCCTTAATATTAAATACTACTCCCTCTGTTCCTTTTTATATGTCACCTTTTTAAATGTCACTTGCATTAAGAAATTAAGCAAGTTTACAATTCTACCCTCATATAATGTTTTTTAAAAGTCATTTTTTCAATGAATGATAAATATGCTAGATTTCAATTTAAGAGGTACTTTTTCTTTATTTATCACAAGAAAAAAGATATAGATTTAATAAATTTTGGTCAAAAATCTATATTCAAGACTAATTAGATATCAAGGGTATAATAGGAAGAATATTGTAATTCATACATTGATTTTATAAAATGACAAGTATTATGGGTGAACTATTTATAGTAAGGATGACATAGTAAAAATGAAAGGATGGAGTATTCATTTTTCAATGTTTAGTTGACTTATTATATTTAATAAGGGTGAATTGGTAAAACTACTTCTATCATTTATTGTTTCTTAATCGGCAGAATGGTCTGGTGGACCCTTGTACTTGTATCTGTTTGTATTGTGAACCCTTCTACTTATCCTTTTGTCATCTGGACCCCTGAACCCATCCAAACTCAACATTTTAAACACTTTTTTTGATGTGGCATCCTATGTGGAAAGACTCCACATGGAGCGTGTGATACACACAAGGTAAGAGCGTGAGATGCCTTAAAAATAAAGTAACGGTCAGATTTTGACCTTTAAAGGCCATCTTTCTTCTTTATTTTCACTCAAACACCATTGTTGGACAAATTTGAGCTTTTTTCTCTTCTTTTTCTCGATTTTGTCTTTTCAAATTTTTTTCTCTTTTATTTTTGGTGCCTTTATTTTTTCCTTCGATCTACTCATCTTTTTTTTGTGTGTGATTCTATTGTATTTTTGTTTCATCTTTTTTTTTTTGTGTGGTTCTATTGTATTTTTGTTGGTTTGATTTTGTTGGTCTTCACAATGACGGTTCGATGTTGCTACTGTGGAATATATGCTGAACTAAAGACATCAAGAACACCAACTAATCCTGGAAGAATGTTTTGGGGTTGCCAAAAATATTCATCCGGTAATGGGTGTGGATTCTTCCGATGGGCTGATGCAAATGATTCAACATGCCAAGAACAATACAACATTAAGAATCCATCAACGAGTTCAGGGCAAGGAAGACAAGGAAGACATAGAAGACAAGGAAGGCAAGGAAGACAAGGATCAAACACTAGTATTGATATCACTGTTATTGTGATTGTTGTTATTTGGTTTGTAGCCGTTATTTTTAAGATATATTAATTTGTACTAGGTGTTATTTGATAATGAAATGAACGGCATTTGCTTCAGAAATCTGAATAGCAACTTCATTCAAACACAAATTCATACAGAAAAACAAAGTCTTCCCAATAACAACTTAACACAAATTCATATAGGCACCATTCATATACAAAAACAAAGTCTTCCTAATAGCATAACCAAAACAATTGGGATCAAGTCATTAATCAAAATAAAGTTAGTTGGGATCAAGTCATTAAGCTAAACCAAGTGAAATCTAATGTGTGCCTTGAGTGCCTTGAGTGCTTGGTGTGCCTTGAGTGCTTCTGTAACTCTCCTCCCGTAGCTGCCTTTGAGTAATTGCAGCTCTTCCCTTCCACCTTAGTCCATTGGGTTTGTAACCAAGATCAATATTGGTAGGAGTTGAACTTGACAATGTAGCACTATGTAATACCCTATCAGTATTTCCAGACTGAGAGAACAACAAAAATCTTAACTTAAAGATGAACTAATATCAATTAAAGCAATTTAATGTGTTTAAATGATAAAATACATACCCTCGCAGTTACACTGCCACCTGATCCAAATAAGAGACCATAACCAGTTGTCTTTGCTTTTTTTGGTCTTGGTTTCTTATATGCAAGAGTTGCACCACCTCTCAAACATGTGCTAGTCTTTCTTTTTTGGCCACCTGCACTAGAAGTTGATTGTTGAGCACTAATTAGACCTGCACTTGGAGTGCAACCTGCACTTGGACCTGCACTTGGACATGCACTTGAACCTGCACTTGGACCTGCACTTAGAGTGCAACCTGCACTT